CCCTTTTTGATGACGCCGTATAGAAATCCATCAGATGTGGTACAAAGACGATACAATGATAAACACTGTAAGGCTCGAAACATCATTGAGCGCTGCTTTGGAGTTTTGAAGAATAGATTCCGAAGTATAATTGGCTCAAGAGGGCTTCATTATTCCGCAGAGAAGACAACGCAAATTGTGAATGCATGTTGTGCAATTCACAACATCTGTATATTTTACAAAAATTATTTGTCCCTCACCCCAATCGAAGCTGAAGACGCTATTGAGCCAAATGATGAAGACCTAGTACTTGAGGATCTTTCTACAGTAGCAGCTAATATAAGAACACAAATAGCAAACAATTTATAATAAAATTTCTCCAAATACACTTTTATTCACAGAATTGATAACATTTTGTGTTCATTAATATTAATCTATACTACTATTATTATAAACATAAAAAAACTTTGGTTAAATTCAGTCAAATTAATTAATTCTATTCAGTTCAATACTATTGCTAAAAAATTATAAACAGCCAATTCATTTTAGGTACAGTGAGTGTTCTTGCCATTTGTTCAGCAAAGATAAATTTTTTTAATCAAGATGCCAAAAAAGAATAGACTCGAGAGTTTAACAAAACCGGTGCCCATTTGTTCAACCGTAATTTTTAATTCGCTAATTGATTATAAAAAATATGACTCACACTACAATAATAACTTCAGAAATCAGAGCTTCAAATTTTTTGCTAACTTTAGGAAAACTGCAAATTGCTATCAAAATTGTGCTCTTTTTAATCGAAGTTTTCCAAGAAAAATGTGATTGAATAGTGGACAGTTTTGAGGAAAATTTGCGGAACGTTCCTAAATTTTGCAAAAAGTTTGAAGCTCTGATTTCTGAAATTATTGTTGTAGTATGAATCATATTTTTATACAAACTTAGCAAATTAAAAATTTTCGTTGAACAAATGGCCACAGTTTTTTTTTAACTCCGAGTCTATCCTTTTATGAATTACTGTACACTTTGATTTAACAAAATTATCCGCCGTCAAGTGGCTTAAATAAAAAAATATATATAAAAAGGGAACTAAACAAATTTGTCTTGCAAACTTTCAATGGCCTGTGCTTGCCTGATTGTGATCTCGAGCAACTCTTTAAGCGTTTCTGCTATGGATCTGGTGGATTCAGCCTGAATCATAGCCGCTTCTGCCATTTTTTGCGCAGCTTCAGCTTGAATTTTCGCTGCAGAGGCTTGCTCCTTCGCTGACTCGGCTATAAGCTCCTGGAAAGTTCTCTTCCGGCTGCTTTGTGGCGCTGATGCTGCGGCTATATGCCTTTTTGGTGTAGTGGACTGCTGTCTGGTAGGTGTCACAACCCCAATTAGTGCAGCTGTGCGGACCGGAGTAGTGACAACTATTGGGATCAGCTCCTCAGGTGATGGTGGTTGAGGTGATTGGTCAAGCTCTGGTTCTGAGCGTACAACCACTTGCCTTACACCGAGAACTGTACCACTTGGTGTGGCCGCTTTTGACACCAGCAAGATCCGGTCGAAAGCCGGAATGGTCCACCACCTGTGGCATGCATGCTGGACGCATTTTCCGCAATTTTCTTCTTTGTGCGGCTTTTAAGATCAGCCCAAATCTGGAAAAACATTACAAGCACAATGTTTGATACAATTTACTATTTATAAAATGGAGTTACCTTTTTCCATTCGGTAGCTGTTCTTTGTGGAGGTCCATGTGCGTTTAATTTATTGGCTAATTCATTCCACTGCAGTTCTACCAGGCTCTTACTCGCACCAAACATTGGAGCGCCTTTTGCCAAGTCTGGATTTTTCTCCAGCTCTTTTACCAGCACATCGAACTGAGCACTGGAAGTTTTTTTAAACACTGTAAAGTATACCAAAAAATTAATTATAATAATACGAATGTTTTTTCGATTATTTCCTGCCTTTTTTGCTTGAATTATCCATTTTAGCGGCTCACACGATAGCAAAAACTCTTTCGTTTGAATTTGACTCTTTTTTTCTTTATTTGAAGTCGTATTCGTGTTAGAGAATTCACATTTGTTACGTTTTCGTCACATAACAATCAGCTGTTATCGACTAGTTATCGCCAGGGTAGCGAATTCGTGTTAGGTAGTACAAATACACGAACAAACGGCTGTTTGGATGAGACGAACGCTCGTTTCGAGATAGAGAATCAGGCTGTAAGTCTAGCGCCTTATATAACCAGCATCGAATAAATCCATGATTCAATAATAGAAAGGTTTTGTAATAAAACAGTCTTCTCGCTCCCACACATAAAATCGGCTCCTTTACTTGTGCAGAATGTTGCTTACTCTACAGTTTCTAGTGATATTAGTAGTAAAACCAAAAATTCGTCATACTAAATGTAATTTTCTAGAACAAGTGTAGAATAGTGACCGTTTAGCTATAAAATAACCAAAAATGCCGATAGATAGAACTTTTTACGCTGATTACAACGATACCTAATTTGGCGCAGGCAAAAAATAACGAAGAGGTTTATTTGCTTTGTTTATTTGTATTTTTTATTATCACTGAATTGTTTATTCTGCGCTGGGAATAAAAAGTTTGTAACCGGTAAATAAAGTTCCTGTCAATTTTAAAACCTTTTTCGCATTCTTTATACTCTTGTAACCGGTAAATTTTGTTACCATCTCATAAGCTGGTAACAAATTATTGCCCCGTGAAATATTCAATGCCAGGATTTGCACAATTCTTCATAGCTGAATTGCTGAATATTTTAATTGCATTACCAATGTACCTAGAATCGCGGTGACAAGAACTGGTAACATTTTTTGGTAATACAATTTTTCGGTTACAAAATCTTTGGTAACGTGCAGAATAGACCTCTTAGTGGTTTTGGTTTAAAAAACAAGAAGCTATAAATTATGTACACCAGCTGAATGACAAATTAGTTATCTTTATGGTGGCGTCATTCGTTTTTTATCGGTTATACTTACAGTTCGTAAGATATTAATATTTAAAAAATTTAAAAACTGAACTTTAACCTTCTAGAACGTCTTAATTTTTTTTTTGCGCCAAATAATTTTGGCATGTTTGAAATGAGCATAAAAACTTCTATTGATCTGCAGTTTTCCTTTTTGCATAGCTGAACGGTCGGTTCCAGGAAATGATGAACATATTTATGTATTGTTTAGTATTTCCATTAAAACACCAAATATATTGCAAATTTGCATAGAATAAATAATACACATTTTACTTCTAATTGTATACTTTGCGTAATTTTTGTAGTACCTTTCTACGACCGTTTTCGCAAAAGCGATCACATTCTTCCCCTTTCTCCTACTTCCAAAGTACAAATCTGGATAAAGGAGTGTCAAATTTTAGCTGTCACAAATTACGCAACCTTGTATTATTGAATCATGGTATAAATCCACATTTCATACTTTGTACAAAAATTAAAAAAACCAAAGAGATTTACCAATTTCCCAAAATATTTAAAACTTTGCCTTGATGTTAAATATTTTTTTGTTGACGGTGCCAGGTATTTTCTTCCATATAATAGTCGTTTCGAACATACTTTACGTGGAAGAAATTACATAGCACCGTCAGCAAAAATAAAAATATTAAAAATTCTAGCGTTTTGAAACTTGCTATTTGTCCTACTAAATTCAATGGTCTAAAACAATTTAATTTGAATTCAATTTTTACAAATTTTGTACAAAGTGTGAAATGTGGGTTTATACTTTTATAAAAAAATAAACATTATAAACAATATAAAAACAGGCAAAACTGGTCAAAATGCAACTAACCTAATTAGCTGACCACTAGGGTACATCCTTTAATTTAAGCATTTATTACTATTATTATTTTTTAAATAATTCAATTAACGCTTACTCAAATTTAAAAAACAATTGCGTGTTCGTTTATTTTCTTTATATTAAGTATTTTCTATATATGCATATTTCAGTCCAAAATTCATTAAATTCAATAAAATTAAAACGCTGTTCTACAGCTTGAAATACATAACCTACAACTTAAATACCTAATTTATTTACATTAATAATAAATGAAAAATTAAAACGCTGTTCTACAACATGTACACTTACGCTACAGCTTAAATACCTAATTTATTACCATTAGCAATAAGTAAAACAATAAAACGCTGTTCTACAGCTTGAAAACTTAACCTACAGCTTAAATATCTAATTAATTTAAATTAATCATAAATAAAAACAATAAAATTCGGTTCCACAGCTTGAAAACTTAACCTAAAGCTTAAATACCAAATTTATTTACATAAGTAAAAAACAACGCGCTGTTCTACAGCTTGGAAAACTAAACCTATAGTATATGACCATTGAATTACAATGTACCGTTTGTTTACATTTTTACGTTTAACTGATTTTTTGAACTTTCATATTTTTTTTAATAAAAATATAGTAAATTCAATAACATAGACCACATATATCGTTGCTTCAAACTTTGTGGAAAATTCGCGAAAAATCGGCTAATTACGAAAAACTCATCAAAATTTAAAACTTATCAGAATTTTTAAAAAACTTTTTACTACGCATTTATATAGCCTTAAATTTTAGTACCATAAAATGCAAGTTTGAAGTCGGTAAAAATTCGCGGTTAATTTTTCGCGGTAAAGTATGTCGGCATTTTTTTATGTTGAAGAAAGTACATTACACCTTAAACCAAAGATATATTCGAAAAATCAAACGCGGATTTCGACCGACTTCAAACTTGCATTTTATGGAACTGAAATTGAAGGCTATATATCTGCGTACGTAAATATTTTCTAATAATTCTGATAAAAGCTTTTAAATTTTGATCACAGCCTTTCGTAATTTGTTGATTTTTCGCGACTTTCGCACAAAGTTTAAAGCAACGATAGATGTGGTATATTTTTATAAAAGAAATATTGAAGTTCAAAAAATCAGTTAAACGTCAAAATATAAACGTCTGAGTACCGTTCATAATTCATTGGCAACATACCGTAAAGCTCAAATATCTATATTTCTACGATCACTCCGAGAACAATCACCTTTGTAGAAGTAAATCCAATTTATTTAAGATATTGGACAATACGTCGGCCTTTCTCTTTTCTATAGAGTTTCCTTTCTCCAGCGCCGCAATTTTTCTTTCCGCCAAGACGACTCTGCGTTCTTCTAATTGTATCATTTTGGCGTTGCTCTCTTCTAAAGAGTAATTTTTGCGTTTGGGAGCCCGACGTTGTGGTGGAAGTGGATCCTGAGGAACCACATCCGGTGCCATTTGCGGTTCCTCATCGCCTCCTTCAAGAAACTGTAATAAAAAGTTAAATAAAAACAGAGACAATCATAAGGCGTATGTACATACCTCTATCTCAAAGTGGTCCACAGAGGCGTCAAATAATTCCACGCTAGTTACTGCGCCGGAACTTCTCTGTAATTAAAAATTACGAGTATCGCCCAGTTGTCGAAATTCGACATCTTTTTTCATACACTTTTGAATTTTACCTGTCACCAATACTAACTCCTTTATGCGAATTACTGAAGTCCACCAGTATAATTTATAGCAAATTTACAGGAAGACTTAAAATCAAATTATGAAAGCTAACACCGGATTGATTAATGCTAAGTCTACGGAGTCTCCTCCAAATTTCTTCAGCAGTTTTTGAAAATAGACCGAGAAAGAAACTTCGATTTTCATTTATAAAAGATATGCATATGTATTGTATGTATAGATGAGATGTTCATCACTGACTAATATGTCAAACATATACCAATTCAGACTGTATATAAGCTCTTTCCATTATATTTGTCTGAGAGCCTCTTGCAGGTTAAAAACTAAATTGCGCACATCTACATAAACTCTCTCTTTTTTCATCAGAATCGTTAACGGTAGAGAAAGTATCTTGAAGGTTTACAACAAAAGATAATATTTCCTTCTCTAACGGCGATTTCACACTGGTTTTCATCAAGACTGGGCCAGAGCCCAATATTTTTCATCACACGATTGGGCTACCGAGTTATGTTACTAATATGTGTTCTAAAAGTGAAACAAATCTGATCATATATATGATTTTTTTGGATAGCTCTCAATCCCTGCGCCACCTATCGGAAGACAAACACACAGATCCTTCTAAAAACTTTTGCACAAAACAGCAATCATTTAATGCGATTATAAAATCTGGGAGAAAATGGTTCCCAATTGAATGATTCTTGCGATTCTATATGTGTATAAATGTAGGTCTGTAAAATTCCATTACCTTATGATAAGTGGATCCAGAGATAACCAATATGAGAATTTCAGTTTGTATGGGCGGTGCCACGCCCCTTTTCCAAAACCTACCACTCTTCGCCATAAGTACGGCAATGGCAACATATGTTGCTGTGTCAATTTTCGGGACGTTAGCATAAGTGGTTTCAGAGATAAGCCATATTTCACTTTGTATTGGCGGTGCCACACCTCTTTCCCATTATCTACCACTTTTCGCCATAAGTATTTTATTGTTATCATAAATAGCTGTGTCAAATTTCAGGACGTTAGCATAAGCGGTTCCTGAGATAGGCGATATGAGAATTTCAGTTTGTATGGGCGGTGCCACTCCCCCTTTTCCAAAATCTACCACTTTTTGCCGTAAGTACGGTATTGACAACATATGTTGCTGTCTCCAATTTCAGGACGTAAGCATAAGTGGTCCCAGAGATAAGCGATATAAGAATTTGAGTTTGTATGAGCGGCGCCACGCCTCCTTTTCCAAAATCTACCACTTTTTGCCGTAAGTACGGTATTGACAACATATGTTGCTGTGTGAAATTTTAGGACGTTAGCATAGGCGGTTCCAGAGATAAGCGATATGAGAATTTCAGTTTGTATGGGAAGTGCCACACCCACATCCCCAATACCTACAATTTTTCACCGTAAGTAGGGTATTTACAATCTATGCGTCTGTGCTAAGTTTCAGTTCTCCAGCATAATTGGTTTTAGAGATATAGTGGTTTTCACATTTTAGTCTATATGTCAGATGCCACGCCCCCTATGTATCGCGACTAACATTTGTGGATTAGAGCAAGTTATATCCTTTAATTCGGTGTATGTTTCATTGAAATCGAGCGAACGGTGCCTTCAGAAAAGGGATTGCAAAATTTTCTTGTGGCGTATTTATATATAGATTATATAAATTATAGATATATACATATGTAGGTATGTTCAAACTACAAAAACATTTTGATCGAATTCGAATCTATGGATAGAAATAATTTATAAATGGAAATGTTCTTAACTCACCAGTGGCTCGCTAACTTCTCTTTGACCGACCACTGCCACTGTGGTCATCACGCCAATGATGTTCTCGTCGAGGTTACTGAGATGCTTTTCGGTAATTGATGAATTTACCCCGCTTCGCTCCATAGCATTTCTCAAATCTTGGGATTTTTGTTTGGCCTTGCTCCTATCATTAATCGAAAACAATTTTAAGAATCTTAGTGCTACTTATGTACATTTTCAAAACATATTTACCTCATATTTACCCGCGCTCTCTTCCATCCTTCACCATCTTTCATGGATCCTCCGTAAGCATTTAATTTTTCGGCGAGGTGGTTCCACTGCTCAGCTAAACTTTTGCTCCCGGTGCCATTGACGAATCTTAAAAAATAAAAACTTAAACAAAATCATTTACGGGAAAATGTTTTGCATACCGGTCGTGAGCAAATTCTCTATGATCCTCCAAATATTGAACGAGCATATATTTTTGATCCTTCGTCACTCTTTTGCTATTGCGGTTTTCCATATTTTGCTATTAATTAAACAATTTCTTTAATATAAAAGAGTATTTTTAACAAAAAACAATATAAGCATTACCTTTTTTGTCGCGTTATTTTTTTAGCACAAACTTTTTCTAGTCGCCAAATTCGCAGAATTTTAAGCCAACAATGGAGATTTGTAGCAATGGAAAAGACGCTGGAGTCGCCATTTTAGCTGATGAGCTGTCAAAATCTGTTCACTCACTTTATCCGGGTTCATTTTGTTCATCGCTAAAACCCACCAAAAAAATGAACCAAAAATTAAACTTTTTAGAGATGATTTTTTAAGCGCGAACCGCAAAAATCTCCCAAAATTGCAAAAATCCATTTAGTATTTTTTTGCGATGGAGTTTTAGCGATAGCGAAAGCTGGAATCCGGTTGCTGCTAGGATTATCATATGTGTATGTATTTATCAACACATGTTTACGTTTGTCTCGTTGTGTTTTTACTTAAGTAATAATGTTAGTTTTTAGTCTTAGAATTAGTTGTATTTTTCTTTTTCTTTTATTTTTTTTACTTATTGTTTTCCTTTTGTTGCTTTATGTTTGTGCTTTATAATTACTGTTGTACTATAAAAGAGCTTTAATATCTTATTTTACTAATGAATTTGTTTAATAAATGAAATTAAATGAAATGGAAACAGTGCCGGCATTCATATGGCTAGCTTACAGCCCTATTCGCGTGCAATGACAAAACTCGCCGCTATAACTATTGGCATGTTTACAAACAATTGTCACGTTTAGGTATGCAGAGGGCAATTTGAAAGCTCCAGCGGTGACAATTGCTATTATTTTTGTGATGACCTATTGAGTACGTGACAACGCTAAAACATATGTTAATATTGTCAATTTTATTAATTTTGCAGAAAAAAATTGCAAAAATTTTACTAAATGAAAACTGTGAAACCACTTTATTTGCCTAAATAGGTGTGTTAAACAGTTATTATTTGCGTATGCATATCATAATATTATTCATGGAGGAAATAATTATTATGTACGCGGCTATTGTGGAGCAGGCAAAAATTACACAGAGAAGAAGACTTCTGATGGAACTCCGAGACAACAGTTTTTTTGGACAGTTTTTACATGTTTGCTGTTAGGGGTGGTCTTCGCAAAACTGCAGCTGCTCTTGTGTGGTGCATTCATATTTTCCACGCGTGTTACTACACGAATTCATAACAAAATTTAATAAATTTTCCTATTATAAAATTACTCACTTTTCCGGTGTTCCGTAATCCACTGCTGTGGTGTATTTTATTTAAAAGAAATCCCTTTTGTTGCAGTGGCGGTCAAAAAGAACAAATTAAAATATAAACAAAGAACAGCTGTTTCACCATAGAGAAACTTTCGCCGGAATTGGCAAATAAAATGAGCTTTTCGCTTGTCATTATTGACTGTGTATACCTATGACAACAGCTGATGACACGATAATGACAATTGAACTGTGACAATAGACGACTGTGACAACACGTGGATATGGCTGTTAGAGTGAAAAGTTGCTAAATCCATTTATAAAAACTTTCCGTTCCGTTGCAAATTAAAATATTTAGATTTTTTGTGAGCTTATCGAATTTTATGTGTTTCTTTTGGACTTAGTAGATTTGCCTTAAATTGAATACAAACGGAAAGAAATAAAACAAGCACGTTAGGTAATCCTTTTGGAGAAGTTGCGTTTAAAATGGACTTAGATTAGATGGAAGTGGGTCTTTCTTTGGAGGACCTTCTTTTCGTTGGCAACTCAACTGCCAAAAATTTTTAACTATTCATGAGTTTGTTGAATTAAAAAATAATAGTCCGGGAATAAAATTGTCACTGAATCGAGTTTCGATACAAGTACTTTCTTCCGATACCTACTCAGTATTTGGTTCAAAAGTATCGATACGAAAATTGCTTGGTATCGGACGAAAAGTATCGAGTATGTACTTGTATTTACTAGTATCGTTTTGACCCTGTTGGGAATAACAATCCACAAATGATTTTTCTTACAACGCAAAGAATACTTTTTATTATTTGTTTACACACTTAGAATTAGTCGCAATTAGTTTTTGCGGATCAGATATAAGTGGCACGTAAAAAAGTCTAGAAAATTCTAACCACCACCGTGGGAAATTTATAAGTTTAAAACTTGCAACCGAAAAGAGGAAAAACTTATGAATAAGTGCATAAAGAGAATAGTAAAAGTCCCATCCAAAAGGTAAGTGTTGCCAGATGCTTCGACTGTGTTCCCACAACCCTAACTGGGCAGCAGTGTTGCCATGTCACAGAAGTGAGAAATCGTCAGATTGGTTATAATAAATCGTCATTTGCATGTAAAAATCGTCAACATATAAAAAATTCAAATAAACAGAACAGGAAGCTCTTTTGAGCTTTTTCCGATTTTTGATATACTGAGCCCTGACGGCCAACATAACGTAAGCGACATTTTTTTCAAATTTTCTTTTTGATGCAGAAATGCATCTCTAGGAATATTTCTGCATCAAAAAGGAAATTTAAAAAAAATATCGCTTACGTTATTTTGGCGGTTAGGGCTCGATACGTAAAAAATAAAAAGTTAAACGTTTTTACGAATTCTTAAAATTCACATTACTTTTAAAAAAAAATTTTCAATTGCAATAAAATCGCATTTTCTTCTTCATTTTTAGATCATTAATGCCCAGCTGCACCAATCAATTTTAAATTTATCAGCCAATTTCGTTCGGAAAATTAAACATTTTAAATTTTAAGTCTGATAAATTTAGAATTGATTAGTGAAACTTTGGATAAGACGTATAACATTTTTTTTCACAAAGTTTTTCTCTAGTATATATTATGTTTAACAGCTTTCTAGAAAAATCACAAGAATTTGTTTCATTCTTTTTGTTGCTTGAAAAAGAACTTTGCCGTTGGTGTAAATTTTCTTGAAGAACTAAATATGCGAAAGTTTTTTTCTGGAGATCTTCAGACTGATTTAAAAAAGTTGTATAGAAGAAAATTCCTTTTTATTTCTTGAGTGTGATTTTAGGTACAATATTTAATGCTACATTTCATTTTTGAAACTTTTAAGTATATCGGTGTTTGGATAAAACTCAAAACAATAACAACCATTACCTCTTTTAATAAGTCCCGCGTGAACAAAATTCCCTGAAGAGTTGAGTTTTCTTGCAAAGAGCATCTTCTGACTCGACAGCTGAGGTAAAGAGAACATCAAATATTTGCAGACTGCAACTTTACCATGTGCATTATAAACTGTTCATACCTACAAGTCTTACTTAATAATTTATTCATAATTTCCTTCGCTCAATAAATATGTATCAGTACACAACGCAAAAACTACGAATTGGACCTCAGAAACTACACAAATAGTGATGAAAGAGAGAAGAAAACTACTAATAAGACTGTGTTTATACACGGAAACTTTTGTCGACGCGATTTTTCACATTCCCTTTTGGTGTTGCTCGTTTCATTTACACACGGCGATTTGTGTGTATGCAATTGTTGTCAGCTGTGAACAGCGGGGACAATTTACACAGACGAACGAGAGCACAAAGCGTGTTGCCCGAGCACGAGCAACTCGGTACCCCTCTCCTTTCCTCGTCGCGCTCTCTCCTACAAACGTCGAGTTGC